AGTTAATATTTTCTTTAAAAAGTAAGTACATTTTAGTTTTTAAAATACATTATTTAATAAAAATATATATTCATAATTTTAATTAATATTAATCATTTTAAATGTTAATATTGTTTGATTAAAATGCATTATTTAATACAATTTATTAAATAATATTATTTAATAAATAAATGTTATTTTTAATTTAATAAAAAGACAAATTGTTGTGCTCGTTGATTTTTTAAGTCCCATACTGATCTCATTCATACCTGACAAGATGAGATATGAGCAACTTTATCTTAATTTGATTACGATTGACTTTTAGTTTTCAAACATCTGAGGCAAACTAAGGTCAAGCAAATTCATTAATTTTATACCTCTTCACTTAGAATCAACTAAAATGGCCATCTGTATCCACTCTCCTGATTGAAAGGTTTGTCACAGACAAGGTAAATATTTAGCATTCCTCAGATGACTTCAGCACAGAGCCTGAGGCTCTCTCTATGTGTGTGTGTGTGTGTGTGTGTGTGTGTTCACATGTGTGTAAAGCCCAGGGGATTTACAGGATGTGAGGAATCATGTTGTTCCTCCATCCTAAAGACCACAGTATAGTCACCCTGTCATTACAAAGCAGCAACTCACAGCACAAGCCCGAGTGACAGCACAGAAGAGACATGTCAAAATCTGAATCTGAGTTGCACAGGATTCGGCAGCCCACTGTTTGGGGTTTTTTATTCAGAAGGGTCAATTTTACGATAAATATATAAAAAATTAGAGTGTGGAAAGTACTGGTTTGAAGTGTGTGAGTGGGAGCAGTTTGTTTCTGAATGGCTCTAGGCTAAATTAAAGTGATAGACGAAGATAAAGACAGCCCTGCTGAAAAAAAAGCTCCTGCTTAATCCAGATTTACTGGTGTTAAACTATTTTAGATAGTCTTAGATACCTAGACTATCTTAGACACCCACGAATTTGCAAGCTGGTTTATGGTGATGAAAAAAAAAAAGAATTTCTAATTCAGCTTGTTGACTGAGGTAGACCAGCTGGTTAAGCTAGTTAAGAAGCCTGATAGGGCACCAAACCCCATAGGCCAGCATCCATAACATGCTGGTCTTTTCAACCTGGTATTCTCTAATAACAGGCTTTTAGTCATCATTACTTGAAGAAAATCATTAAAGAATCATGCCTTAATGTGTCCGCCCAAGTTTTAAATCATTCCTACGCCCGTCTACACAGACATACGTGTAAAAACGTGCGTTTGGTGCTTGTTCTCAGTGTGCCATGTGTTTCCTCTTCAGTATCTCCCCACAGCACCTGAACAGTGAGATTTGAGCATGTGATGATGTCACGTATTGTGCAAAATCTCCTCATTACCCAATACTGTCTGTTTTTTTCTTCACTGTTTATTTACTGGCATTTTCATTGTAGAGTTAGCACTCATATGAATGTGTGTGACTCTTTCACTCAGCCTGAGTTGTTTTTAATATCTGATCATAGAGGAAGTGAAACTCTGGGGTATTGGCACAGCTTTTACCCCAACTTTTCAGTTAAACCCACAACAGCTAAATTCTCCTGACACATGCTGCTACAATAAAGCTCACAAACTATCCATAGCCTGAGTTCACAGAGGTTAGGACACTGTTGACCCTGAATATGACCCTTTATTTCAGTAGAAGGTGTGTTTTCTTCATGTTGCTGGCTTATAAAGGAAGACTGGACATTGTTTTGTTTATAAAAGGTCCACCGGATGGAACATCTCAGTGTGTTTTAGATGTTTAACATGGGAGTGGTTGAACAGAAAAACAAGTTTCAATTTGACATTATTCACTACAAACCTCCAGATTTCCTTAGCATACACTTTTAACCAAAACAGAACTGTAAAATTAAAGTTTCTCTTGCTGTTAAAACAGAATCCTGACATACTTGTATCTATTAACAACACCTGGAAGAGATTGCTATGAGTTTAATCCACTAAAGTAACATCATCTCATGTGTACATGATCACAGCGCTCTCTGAGATGATGGAGGAGAGGGCAGAGGTCAAGACCAAGACAAACTCACCTGGCCTTTCTCTCATTCACTCTCCCTCTTCTGTTCAAATGCTTTGTCCTCCCTCTGCGCTCAGATTAGGTGGTTGAAATCCAGCGCGCGAGTGATGAAATAATCTCCTCAGGTGAAATCAAAGAAAACTCCTCTACAAACTCGGTCTTGTGCTCACACCACTGTAACAAGATAATTTGACTTGTACTTCCTTGAGGAACTAAATGTATAAGACACACCCCTGAGTGTGCTCTCTCTCTCTCTCTCTCTCTCTCTCTCTCTCTCACACTATCTCTCTCTCCACCCTGTCAGTGTGTTAGCTGCTGACATGGTGTGTCTGCTTGCCCTAACAAGTGCAACCCTTGTAAAGAATTCAGCAGTAATCCTGGATGCGGCCCAGTGAAAGGGGAGGTTTTAGTCTCTTTGTGATCTGGTATGCAGCCACTGTCATCACTGACACTGCTATGTTTCTCACTTAACTGTGTTTCTCATTTAACAAAATCATTAATGGTCCAAACTATAATAGTTATATTTTCTGGTCTGGAATTGTACAAACACGCAAACAAAAAGACTCTTGAAACACTCAGCCAATCAGATTTAAGGACTGAATACTATATACACACAATGTATATACTTAAACACGTATGTATATATATATATATATATATATATATATATATGTATGTGTGTGTGTGTGTGTGTGTGTGTAAATAAACTGTGATATGTGTGTTCAGACAGTGTTGTTGTTGTTGCTGCTGCTGCTTTCTGATCAGTGTTTCCATCTTTTCCTGCCTACAAAACCATGAATTCATTTTCAACTGAATAATATTCTCACTTTGCATGGCTAGGACAGTTATTTGTTTACCCATCAAAACCATACAGACATTTCATTGATTTTATGCAAATGGAATTGCTGAATTGCTTCGCTTACAGCTGCATAGTTCACAGATGTTTGTTTGTCATTTATGTGTCCGCAGTTTATTTTTATTTTGAGCAAGTTAAAAAATATATATATTATGAAGTATTATGAACTTTTTTCAGTGCCATCATCATTTATTTTATTGCTTCTTTGTGGTTTTAATGGTTTGACAGTTATTTTAACATATGAAAATGCACCCAAAATGTTACATTTTAAAGCTTTGACAATCGCCTTTGGCTGGTTCACTGGATGTTTTTTTCCCTCCTAATAAAGATTTTTTTCAGAAGTTTGTCTTCCTAAAATTCTCTGGTGATGCATGTATCTTAATATATTGCTAGTAGACAAATTAAAACTGTGAAAAATGTATAATAAAGGTTATTTCTAAAAGGCCATAAGGCTAAAAATACTCTTAATGAAGGAAACATCCTTGTACGCAAACATGCTTTGATAACTGAACATATTATATTCTTAGGCAGCCAATTATGTTATATATTCCATTACATTTTAGTGGCCTAACCTCCAAACATTATGCAAACACAGACTGTAAACACAAACAGAGAAGTGAAGTATGCCATTGATGGAAAGCTGGGTGATTTCTTTTGTAAACTTCATTGTTTAGTCACTAACATTAGAAATTGCTGTATACTGAACTGGTCCTGTGTAATAGAAAGTCACCCTCAGGGCTAATGTCTGTGCATTAGTAATGTCTATACCAAAAAAGCCTGCTTATCTGTCTGCTATCTGAATGGAAACCATCTGGACTTAAGCCCTAATGCATAAAGACTACAAAAGGAATGGATGCATCTGGCTTTATTTTGTGAAAGTCATGTTTACAATCTGTAGTATCACTTAGATCCATCACCTCGGCTGAAATCTCAAGTTACAATAGTTTTCTCCTCCGTTTGTATGAGATTGAAATTGAAAACATGACATTTGTGTTTTTCTGCAAAGCTAAGAACGTTCAGGCAAAGTAAGAATTAAGCTCGTCTCCAAGACAACAGACAGGAAGTGTCGCTTAAGTGGTTTCCTGATGGCTTCCTCTTTATCGCTGAATGATATCTGACATGTTGTGTGTGTGCAAGTGTGTAATGTGTTTCAGAGATAAAACAATGAATATCCAGTTAGCTACAGTTTAATGAATTTAATGTATTTTGTGATATTTGTGATAATGTAAATGCCATGACTGTCTTAATCTGGTAAAAAAAAGCCCCACATTTCCAGATTTCTGTTACATTTTCTTATGATATCATTTGTGCTCTTACTTTTTTCTTTTTTTTCTTAAAGTAACATTAGTGAATTTTATTTGTGGCTTAAGAGACAGAAATAGTTCAAGTGGTAAGTATGTAATGCTAGTGTTTGTTTCCTGGTTTATCTTGTATCTCAGTGTGTTTACATGTGTGTAGGCCTGTCTAAATGTGGGTGTATGTCTTCGGGTGAGCACGTGTTCACACGTTTTATTTAGGTCACTTGGTTTTATCTGATGTGTTCGCTCTTACTTGAGCAAAGTATGTGTTTTACAGCAATATTACAGTGCTCATCAAACAATAAAATCAAACGTAAGCTGTAAACAATCACATTTAACATATAAGATGTACAACAAACTCTTTGTTGTCAGTAACTGAATGAATACAGGTATTCAGCACATGTATCACAGTGAACCTCTCTAAAGTTTAACATAAATGCTGTAACTGTACATGCTAATATACTCAATACAGAGAGATTTTAACATATCACATGTGTTGATATTAATAAAACATTCAAATACAATTATTCAAACTCTTTAAAGAGGAAGTATAGCAGCCGAACAGCACTTTATTTTTGATACCCAGGCTTTGGACGCCCTCTTTTATTGTGATTCATATAATTTAGTTACCTGTGTTGTATGGCACAACGAAATGAAGTCTGCATTAAAACATGATTTGTGCTTGTGTTCATTCATTCACATTTATTCACCAGATTTAATCCCAGAATTTGCTGCCACAAATGCAGTTTTCTGACCATTCTAGAACTGATCTGATCTATCTGTTATACAGTATAATAAATAGTATTTTATCAATCTCTCCTGGTTATTCACAGCAGATTGCAGGCTGTGCTTCGCATGGGGAGGTTAGCTGGCAATCCTGAGTACTGGCTTCTGAAACTGTGTTTTTTGTCGTTTAGCTCAGGAGCTGCATTCTCCTGGCTGCCAGCAGGGGGAGTGCTTTCCTGCGCATTACCAGAAGTGTTCTCTGCCTTCCTTCCTTTGTTATTCTTTGTCTTTTTAACCTTTTCTTTGTCCTGGGACTCATTGGTGAATGTGTTTGGGTCTGGAGCGCCCTCTAGTGCTGGCAGGGTGTCAGGGGGCAGGTCAGGGGGAGTGGGTTTGCCCTCAGCCTGCTCCTCAGTGGGGGTGTTCATGTTTGACGGGGAATGTTTGCTGTTGGTGCAAGCGGAACTAAAGGGAAAAACACATTGAAGATGGCAGAAGACAGAAACACTACTGTTAAGACTTTTTGTTAGGATATTTTACTGGAGAACATAAAAAAAAACTGATGGATTGAATGGTGCATGCTCAATTGATTGGCAGGTAAGTCATATTATGTTTCATGCATCAAAACGATTCTTTCTAAACTGCAGAGAATACTAAATGAGCATTTTATGTGAGGCCATCATATATTAAATGCTTGCTAAGAAGACTAGCTGCCTGCATATGTTGTGTTTTGTGTTTGTTGGTATGCAAGTGTTCCAGGCCTTTTGGACTTGCAAAAGTTCCTTAGTCAACTATTATGCTTGTCAACCAGTTTTACCAGTTAAGTTTTGTCCACCTGTTAGAATTTGGGTAATTTCAGCAGGATAGAGCCCATAGTGTTGTGTTTTGAGTTGTGTTTTTCCAAACTCACCCATTTGAGCTTCTGTCTTCTGAGTCTTTCTGCTCATTGCTGTATCTGAGCTCTGCTGGAGTCTTAAATGAGAGATCTTTCTTTCCCTTCAGCCAGTACGTCTTCATATAACCTTTACCCTTAATCAAGAGAGATTAGAGTTGATTTTACACTAATTTAAGAGGTTATTTGCTTGCAGTATGAGTCATATAAAGTAACACTCACATTTTTGTTACAGAGAAGAGTACTTCTGAAAATATGCTTAAAATCATATACACCCACATGAAATGAAGCAATTTAATGGGAAATGTTTTATTTTACATGGAGTGGATTGGAAATTTACATTACTGAGTGCACTTTTTTTGGGCAAGTATTTGGTTTACATGAAAGACTTGCAATAAACTGTGGCTCTGAAAGAAGTTTTTAGTTCTGTACTGTGCTTATTTTGTGGGAGAACCTAATACACTACCATTTGAAAGTTTGGGATCAGTAAGATTTAAAAAAAAAAAAGAATTTAATACTTTTATTCAGCAAGGATGCATTAAATTGATCAAATATGACAGTACTGTTTCAGCTAAATAAAAAAAAATCTGTTTCAGATAAATGCTGTTCTTTTAACATTTCTATTAATCAAAAAATCCTGAAACAAATGTATCAAGTGTTCCACAACAATATGAAGCAGTACAACTCTTTTCAACATTGATAGTAATAATAATTGTTTCCTGAGCCTATTAGAATTATTTCTGAAGGATCATGTGACACTGAAGACTGGGGTAATGGCTGTTGAAAATGTAGTGTTGCCATCACATGAATAAATTACATTTAAAAAATAAATTATTATATTTCACTATATTTCTGTTTTTACCGCAGCCCTGGTAAAAAAACATTTAAAAAAATAATGTACATAGTTTTACTGTGCATAACATTGTTGATATTGGCAGTGAAGATGATGAGGTTGATTATTTATTGAAGTACCTTAACAAAAATCTTTCCTCGTTCCTCGATGATGTATGGTTCATGCTCCAGATGGTCTTTGGTGGTCTGACTGATGTGGATTTGCATGCCCTAGCCGCACAGAAAGAGAGAGATTACAATTAGCTTTTTAATTAACTGCATTTTCTTTAAAACGAATTTAGAATTACTCGTTAATATTTTCTATTGCATGATGAGACAGTTTTGTTTAGTTATTAGAAGCTGTTCATTTTTCTCAGTACAGCATAAGAAAGTGACTCACCACGCCATTAGACTCCATCCGAGAAGCCGTGTTTACTGTGTCTCCAAACAGACAATACCTGGGCATCTTCAGACCCACCACACCTGCGACCACCATTCCAGAGTGAATGCCTGTGTGAAGACCACCACAAAAGAGTTTAAAAAGACTGTCTAAATCACTTTCTCACGTTGTGCGGCATGTAGAGAAAAGATCAGATGAAAGGGTTACAGTGGCTTTGTTATGTGATGCTGTGTGAGTCCGGGTGCACCCACCGACACGGATCTGGATGTTGTCCCCGGTGGAGGGGTCTTTTAGGTGATCGATGGAGCTCAGCATGTCTAGAGCCATGTCACAGATGTGGTGGGCATGGAATGTGGTCTTATTGGGCACACCTGCCACAACCATGTAGGCATCCCTAATGGTCTCCACCTGAGGGGGCAAGAGCATTTGTTGCATGCCATTTCACTCGATTTTGAAGGTTTTAATAATGACAGTAAAGATTAAAAAACTTTAATTAGAAATATTTAATAGAAAATAGGGATGCATTGATATAAAAATTTTGGCATATACCACTAAGCCGATATTTTCCGGTTTTATATTGAGAATGCTCTGGTTTTTCAACCAAAGTATACATCCAAAATTATTTTCATGTCATGTTCGATATTAAAAATTCATTTATAATGTAGACATTTATAATGTATAATAAATGGATATTCATTTTGAAATTTGCTAAATATTACATACACTACTGTTCAAAAGTTCAGTGGGATCTGTAAGGTTATTAAATTAAATTAATTAATTTATTAAATTAATACTTTTATTTCAGCAAGGATGCATTAAGTTGATCAAAAGTGACAGTCAAATAAAAAAAAAAAAATACAAAAGATTTCTATTTCAAATAAATGCTCTTCTTTTCACCAATTTATCAAAAACCATGAAAAAATGTATCTTGGTTTCCACAAAAATATTAAGCAGCACAACTGTTGTGTTGATATAATAATAAGAATGTTTCTTCAGAAACAAATTAGTATGATTTCTGAAGGTTCAGCGACACTGAAGACTGGAGTAATGGCTGCTGAAAATTCAGTTTTGCCATCACAGTAAAATTACATTTTAAAAAAAAAAAAATAATTGTATTACTGTTTTTATTGCATTTTTGATTAAATAAATGCATCCTTAGTGAGCAGAAGAGACTTCTTTAAAAAAACATGAAAAAAATCTTACCAACCCCAAACTTTTGAACAGTCTTGTATTGACTGATATGCATACATTAAAAAAAACTCTAAAATAGGCAGATAACTGAAATGGTGCTGATATATTGTGCCTCCATTGTAAAGAAAAAGCAGACCACTGCCTTGAAGGTCTTTTAGGTCAAAGGACATGCATGAGAAGCTATTCTGTCGTGTCATGTGGCTTTCGTTTGAGTTACTTATGTTACCTTATAAACATTGTGCTTTTCGCTGAGTGTGTCAAAAACGATGTAGATCTCATTTAGCATGTCCACCACCTGCATGGGGGTGATGTGGATACAGATCTCATTAAACTTCACCACATCGCTGAACAGGATGGTCACGTCTGGGAACACCTGGAGGGAGATAACAGATCAAGAATGCCACTTAAAAACAGCAGGAGAGGAAAAACAGATGGCTTTTTATTGTAATTCATTATCTCTCTTAAGATCTTGATATAGTCAAAATCACAATGGTCACTCAATACTAAGAGAAATTCATATAAATGGTGTGCTTTATTGTGCCAGTAGAGTGTGCACCTGACATGTCTCCAGTGCTGTGATTCCCTTGCGCAGTCGGTCTGCCACTGCTTTGGGGATCATGGCGTACAGCAGGGAGTCTCCTCTCTTCTTCTCTTCATCCAGCTTTTTAATGATCTCCTGCAGCTGTGCATACTTCTGCTGCTCCTATAGGTGGCACAGTAAGAGTTCGGCCTGTCATTTGCATGTTATTTCTAGATGCATAGCCACAGCCAGAGACTCTATGCTTATTAAACGGCTTAATAGACTTGTGTCAGTCCGTGCCAGAAATTCTGCTACATAACTCCTTTTATATAAACTGAAATAAAATGTGTCTCTTTAAGGATGGTGGTGGATTCCGGTATTTGTAAGTCTAGATTTTGAACTCGGTGGCATCAGTGCGGCAATCATACCTGGTCAAGTGCCAGTTGCAGCTCGGCTGATTGCTGTGTTCCTGCCAGGATGAGCTCTCTGCTGGAGTCGTGCAAGTTTAAATCATTGACGTAAACACCCATTTTTATCATGTCCTCCACTGTCTCAATACTGTACAAAGGAGAATACGGTTTAAGACAGTCTTCAGCATTTTTAGCTATAATCTTATAGCCTTTTGTTGTGGTTAAACTAGAGACAGTCTGACAATTGTAGACTCATAATTACACATTTTAAAGGGGCCATATTATGGAAAACAGAATTGAATTGAGTTAGATGTGTTTATATAGACTAGTAGTTTTCAAATGACGAGTTACAGGTCTGTTCTGATTGGCTCATGGACAGTAGGGGAAAAAATATGCTAATGCAAATGATAAAAAGCCAACTAACCATGTAATTGTTCATAGTTGAGAAATTAAATGGGCTTAGTAACTTTAAAGAGAGTAGAAAATACATATTTTTGTTTGCCTTTGGGCACTGAACATTTTTGCTGCAGTATTGGATTATGTCCAATGTAAAATATGGATCATTAAGCAAAACCAGGGAGGTCAGAGAGAGAGAAAGAGACATTTTAATATTGTAATAAGTCGATCTTGGGATTAAACTAAAACGGTTTGAGTGCAGGATATGGTCCCTTTGAAATGACTTGATTGTCAGGTTTATGTGGCAATAACTAAACTACTGTTTTCCATTAGCTCAATGTTGTAAACGTGTGAGATTATGAGGGCTTACATGGGAGTTCCTAGAAAGATGAGGGAGTCCCATTGAGGGACATACTTCATCTGGCCCTTGAGGTGGAGAGGCTTTTTAGGGGGCTCCCGCATGTCTTCAAATATGGTTTCACTGCACTTGCCTACACGAGAGAGGACGTTTCATTTTTCACTGCATAGACAGAAGATTTGCATTCATATGGATAATCTAGAGGTGATTTCTGAGTCAATTTTTGTTCCCAAATCACAGAATAATGATTGTCATTTTATTGACTTGATAAAATTTCTCATTGCTGCTCATTTAGAGCATCACTTTACTGTAATGTGTCTAACCGGTGACAGTCTGAAAAGCCAGCAGCTCGATGTCCTCTCCTCCAGAATTAGCCGAGCTTTTGTACGGAGTCAGAGCGCTGCTGTATTCCTGATCCGTCCCCTTCATTTCCTCCATCACTTTAATATCTGAGAGAACAGCAGAGGCAGTGACAGAAGTCAGCATGAGATGTTTTAGAATATTATCTGCTTCAATATGTGTAGAGGCAAGGCATTTGGGTGTGATGTCTGAGGATCTGATTGGTCAGTGTGGCTTTAGCTGTCATTAGGCCCGTGTGGAATATGTGAGCGCAGAATTCTGCAGAAACCTCAGCAAAATTCCACAGAAATGAAAAAAAAAATCATCTTTCAGAAGATTTCTTTACACATGGGTCAGTGTAGTACAGTAGAAGTCTAGCTTAAAACCCATGACAAGTTCTTAGAAATGTACTTTTTGTGTTCATGTTAGTTTAATATGGCTTTTTCTAAATGGACATTTGAATCATTATTTTAAATAACTAAATATAAATGAGATCACATTTAAAAGGACCTTATTTGACCAAAAATAGTAATATTTTGAAATATTATTACAATTTAAAATAGGCCTAACTGTTTTCTATTTTAATATTTAAAAAATTTATTTCTTTTGTAAATGTATTTACTGTTGCCTAATTGAATGCTTCCCTGCTAAATAAAATGACTTTTTCCACTTTATTTCACTTTTTTTAACATTAGTATATATTTTTAAATGAATTGAATTTTAAATGTACAAATAGCACAAATAGGAAAAAAATTCACTGACTCTTATTATCATTATTATTTTTATAAATTAAATATAAAATACAGTTGATGTTTTCAGCTGCCAATGAGCTGCCAATGTTGTACTGACATTGAATTCTACAGATTTCCCCCAAAATCAGCTTAAAAATTGTGAAAACATTCTGCTTTGCCCCACACTGTAATACTAATTTAATACTAAGTAATCACACTCTAATACTAGTCTAAGCACTATACCTCTCTCTTCCTTCTTGGGTTTTTCACTTTCCTCTTTCTCCTCTGGTTCTTCTTTGCTGAGTTTAGGGATGTTGACCTTCTGTTTGCTCTCTACCACAGCCTTAGACAGCAGTTCAAACACATTGTTGAGGTGGGTGTAGATCTGAAAGAGCACACAGCAACAAAACGCTTTTTCAGGACATAAATGCCAAGAGCAAGAAAAGAAAGCATAAATATTTTTTTAGATGGCTCGTCTAAAACTCTTAAGTTGTCAGTTACTTTCATGCTGCTTTGGCTTTGGATCTGTTCTCATACCCTTCCGTTCACTCACATTATCCCAGCTGAATTCCAGCATGGGTCGCACCAGGGTAAACTCCTCATTGACCTTTTTGCCCTGCAGATCAGAAAACACCTCTTTCAAACCGTCTCCAATCCGATACATGGTCATGTCCCTACGGAATATCACGCTGAAGGGGAACATGTCAAAAAAGATTCCTCGCTTCATGGGCAGTTTCTCATAGCCTGGAGCTGTTTTCTGCTGGGGCATACGGTGCTTAAACGCAGCATTGTCAAAATTCATCTTGTACACCTTCAGAGAGAGTGAGAAGATCAGAAACGTGAGAAATAAAGAATAACAGAGCTGGGTTTGTGTAAACAGAGGAAGGTAAATGTCTGTTTGAACTCCTACCACATATGTCATTTTCTCTGTTTCCTCTTTAGACAGAATCTCCACCTCAATGTCTGTGTTGTAAAACTGTCGGCCCACCTGAGAGAGCTGCCCTACAGAGAAGTCACAACAGACGCTATTTGAATTTTAAACAGGCTGAGGCAACACTGTGGACTGACTGACCAGCTTTCATTGTGTAAGATCTAGTCAAACATCATTTTACCACATCTCTATTATCTAAGCTTTACTTTCAGATCATTATTTTACCTCACATCTCTCAAGAATTTTAATGTGCAGTTTCAGAAAGCACACGTACTGAAGTCACCAATAATCTCATCCTGTTAATATGGTAACTGTTCAAAGAGTAAAAGGTGTAAATAGCAGATTCATTAAGCACATATAGGGAAGCTCAGTAGAAAGCTATTGTACAGTTTTTGGATCTAAATTATATTAGTTGAGATTGGGTGAAGTCAGGCGGAAATCTAAGTCCTTGACCTGTAATAATTATTATAAAACCGTTCATTTCTGCCCTTGAATTTATGTTAGTGGTGGCAATTTTTCAGTGACTCTTTCTGCAGTTTACTTCGTGCCAGTAGGTGGCGACAGGTGGCTTTATAAATGACTCGTTGAATCATTGATTTAAACCTATTTAAATAAATGAGTGTCAGTGACTCACTGAATCATTCATTCAACAGATTTGTTCAAAGCATTGATTCATTCAGGAATGAAGCAAGTGACTAATACGTGAATCACTGAATCATTCATCCAGTCGATTTATTCGTACATGTTGCTCCGAGATGCTCAGTACTTAACTTTGCTTTGGCTTTATTTGGAAACATTTGCACTGGCGGAACAACAAAGTAGCTGATCATATAAAACGTATATTATTGACGTATTGTTTATTGAACTGTTGTATAAAAGCAACATCACACTATCAAACCTGCTGCTGGTCTGAATACACTCTCCACAACATGCATCTAAGAACATAACTCAGCACTATTACCTTTGACGAACTGTGTGAATCCTTTCCTGGTTGAACGGTAGTGCAGGGTAAGACTCGTCTCACATTCTTCCTCTACACAGAAACTGGGCGGCTGGACTTTTGGGAAGGAGAAACGGAAGTACTCATGCAGGTTATCTAGCTCATTGATGAAATCTCGTACATTGCGCCCCAGTACCTGAGACATAGATATTAGAAGAGATTTAAAAGCTGTGTAAAATGTGTATACAACTGTACAGTTAACCATTGAGAAAGCCCAATAAAGAAAACTAAAAGCAAAATGTTAAACACTACCGTTCAAAAGTTTGGATGAGGGAGAATATTTGAAAATATATGCGAAAGAAGTCTCTTATGCTCTGCATTTATTTGATAAAAAAACAGTAATATTATTAAATATTTTTACAGTTTAAAATAACTGTTGTCTGTTTAAAATGTCATTCCTGTGATGACAAAGCTGAATTTTCAGAAGCCATTATACCAGTCTTCAGTGTCACATGATCCTTCAGAAATCATTCTGATATGCTGATTTGCTGCTCGACATTTCTTGTTATTAATGTCAGAAACAGTTGAGCTGCTTAATGTTTGTGTGTCAACTGATACTTTTTATTTAAGGATTCTTTGATGAATAGGAAGTTAAACAGCATTTATTTGAAATAGATTTTTAGTGTAAAAGTCTTTACTGTGATGTTTGATCAATTTAAAGCAACCTTGCTGAATGAAAGTATTAATTTCTCCCCCCCCAAAAAAAATAATAAGAAGAAATCCTATATGAGTACCTGACAAATACAGAGTCTATCATGTTTGAAAATCACCTTTAAGATCCTCTCATAGCCATAGTTTCCTATCCGCTTGACCATGTAGACCCCGAAAGCATACATCAGCTCATCGTGAGTTTTCCCCAAAACCTCTCCAGCTGCCTTTGCCAATCTTAAAATCAGATTATCACTGGAATAACAAACACCAGCATTGTTAACTTAGACAGATGCAATCTATGACACTTCATTTATCAGAAATGCGACTCTTAGGACTTACTTGTACATCTGGTGTCGAACAAATTTGAGGTGCGGGATCTCCGCTCTGGCCTCGATTAGCCTCCATACGTCCTCTCCATATGATTCATTAATGTAGTCATTCACCGCTTCCAAATACAGGCCATACATCTTCAGGGGGTTTGGAACCTCCACTACACTGCCCCAGAAATCTGATCAGCCTGCAGAGAGCACAATACCTGGATCTGAGATGCTTCAGTGACATCAAGAGGCTTTTAGTTAGGCTTTTAGATGGCAAAAATCAATATAATGCCCAAATAGACAAGGTGCATAAACAAGCAGAGATTTATAGAGGACTTCAAGATGCAAACATATAACTCATCTCTGATATTATTAAACTGTCCAGTTTAAAACGAATAGATGTTCACTAGATATTATATTTTTGCAGACAATTTTGTGTAATCTATGAGAGTCTGAGAGCCTCTGTGTTGCTTATCCATCCTTTTTTGTTGTCTATTTGTGTAAAATGCCATTTTGTTTGATCGATGAGTACTGTATAATATGCTGTGCTGTTATAAACCATCTCTCCTGTGACAGGCTATTTAATACCCAACATCCTCTATAACCCCTATATTCGTGTAAAAAAAAAAATTATAGCAGATAATACAATCTACGCTACTAATGAACACCAAATTTGAACTAATAGATCAGTATTTAATGAGAAGTAACAGTATGTATGTGGCTTACCTGCAGACCCTCAGTCCTGTGTAAATAGTCTGAATTTGGCTAAAGCAGAACCTTCTCTCTCCCTCTTTCTCTCTCTTAGTCTCTCTCTCTCTCTTTAAACACCTGTTTTTGGCACCTGAAGCACTTCATACTCCTTTCTGTCAGGACAATGGCCACACAGGCTAAAACAGGAGAGCAGGAGTGTGTTTGTGGCAGGTGCTAAACAACACATAAGCATGGACAGTCGTCATGCATAGTCCCCTTTCTCCTTCTCATTGACATTTGTTGCTATAAATGAAGTGTAATCCTAAAGTTATGCCATTTTTATGTGAGAAAATTTTTTTATTTTTTAAAAATCCCGTAATGAACCTGCTTTCAAAAAATCAGAAAGATACACACACACACACACACACACACACACACACACAATACATCGGTTTTCTATTATAGATTACTTGCTATTGACTTAAGTTGTTTTTGTTACTGAGCTATGAAATCCATCCATTGTGAAATCCTTTATATTGTCATTAAGACATGTTTTATTATGTTTATTAAGCTACTGTCATTCATTTGCAATACCTGATGATTAAAGGAGAATTAATATTATGCATTTCTGTATCTAAAACCTTGACAACAAATTGGATAAGAGAATTAGAAGGAGATGAATAAAGAGTCTATTATTATTATTAGGCTAAAGTCCCTTTATAGTCTTTGGCTATACGCAAATGGCTCTTACCCTTTAATGGCTTCAGTCTAAATAGTCTGCATTGAAAGAAAAACTGTGCTTAACCTAACCTAATGTAAGTCCAGGAAATTCATGCATATGTTCTGAATTTACGTAGGATTTTTAACAGACTATTGAAGATTGCACAGATATGTCAAAATTTGAGTAGATAGTTCAAATTGTACCAGTTGTTTTAAATAGTTTTAAATAATGTTAACGTTAACAAGAGATATAATTAAAATCTTACAAATTATTAACTTGTCTCTCTTCTTACAATGTTAAAATGGTCAATGAAAGCCGATTCTTCTGTTGTCTCTCTGTGTATTACTCTCATTAGCCGCTAGGGGCCACTGTTGACACATCGTCTTTACGCTATTGACTCCACGCTGAAAGCAAAACGTCTCGGTTGTTGCCCTTTACTATCAAACGACTCATTATCGTTGCTTTGCACCGCAAATAAATGGCTTACGTCATATTTATCCTGTATATTATATTTATATGTGTGTGTGTCAAGGTGCGCGTGCGTGTGACTTATATGCGCATCCTATAAGAAACTGAGCACTTGACAGTGCAATTAGTGGTGTATGCGGAAAGGACAGGAGAAGCGAGAACTGTGTTCCTGTATTGCTTCCTCACAAGCCAATAATGAGCATGTCTTTGTTTCCAGTCACCCAAGAAAGACCTCTCAGCACCTATCAGCCTCTATCTCTCTCTCTATGGTCTATGTGAATAATAAAAAGGGTCATATCCAAGTTCACCTTAATTACTGTCTCTTTCTTGTTTATTTACTGCATTTTCTCTCTCTCTTCATGAGTGTACAGTGTAAGTTACAGTAGGTCACAATGTCTGTGATAAACACGGTAGTCACAAGGACTTTATCTCAGTATCTATTAGAATCTAATAATTAGATGCTGGTTTTAAATACCTTGCTCAAAACTCTCTCAAATTAGGTTTGTGAATTATGCCCTCCAAACTTTCCAATTTTTTGTAGTAGCCGCTGAGTAAACAAGAGAACACAATAAAACTACACCAACAAACATTTAGACAATAATCAACTACATCATGATTAAAAAAAAATAAAAGTAATTAATAATCAATTGTATCTTTTTTTCTAGGAAATAACTTTTATTTTTCTTGTTTTACACAAAAATGTCATGGGTATCAGAATCAGAATCAGAATCAGAATTAGCTAAATAGTAAAACTTAACAATAAATAATGTGTATGAATCTGGAACAGTAGATTTATGTACAGATTTGTGCATTTGTACTCTATATAGAACTGTATAAATAAGAGATATCCATATGTATTTACATAATACTTGAGAAAGAGGCAATAATTAAGGATGTAGAATGAATTACGGAAATGAATTACAGAACGCAGGGAATGATTCATATGTTAGCTGTTTAAGCTGGAGATGGCATGGGGGAAAAAATTGTTTTTATGCCTAGATGTTCTAGTGCACAGAGATCTGTAGCGTCTGCCTGAAGGGAGAAGTGCAAACAGGTTGTGTCTGGGGTGAGAGGGGTCTTTGATGATGTTTCCTGCCCGTTTCCTCACTCTGGATATAGAAAAAAGGGTATATAGAAAAAAAGTAAAACATTTGACATATTTTGCGTTTAATTTGTACTAATACGTTTTAAAATCAGTATTAAATTGTTCAAGGTACTCTTCTATTCCATTTAATTTTATGATAATAATGAGCTATTTTAAAAATAGCTAGTTAGTATTAGTAGTTTTTTTTGTAGCCATAACTTTACGGTAGCTATACTGAAATAACTTTCAACCATAAACCTTCCTATGACAAATATTTAGTAAAATGTGTGACGAGTAGCCCCGATCTCCCCTAAATGCCCACTTATATTCAAATGATTCCTTTTGAGATATTGTCTCCTGAACCTTCCCTCGTTTTCATCCAGCGAGGTACTTTTACACTTGCCTCTGCGGATTATGCATAGCAAATACCTCGATCATTTGTTTGCATTAGCATTTCAGCTTTGTGCTGAAATCTTTCGAAAATCCCATGTCAGTCTATCTGTGAGGCAAATCAGGAGCTCTCAGAGGAGCTATGAAGCCGTATGTGTGTGTGGAGGTTGAATGCAGCATATGTGAATGCGCGTGCATGGATGTGTGGGAGGACAGCATGCTTATGGTTCCAAAGCCAATGCTCTGAAAACCTCTGCAGAATTTCTGTTTCATTCTTATGGCGGGTTAAGGAATTACATAAGACATCTTATTGATTTGTTGTTTTGTAAGTAATGGAGTAAGAAAGATGGAATAATTTTAAAGACGTACATCTCCTTCAGATATCTCCGGCATACAACTGGCACTGTGAACTTAATGACACACTTTTATGTTTGTCGGCCTGCATCTGTGTTGCTACTTCACTGCTGAATGATGGATGAGTCGTGTTTACATTACAGTGAAAAATATTACTAATGCATGTACATGGCGGCACATCCTGTGGTCTGACACTGATGGATTTCATGCATAATAAGGCCAGATTTTTTCAGGACCAGTAGTCGGAGGGAAGAATGCAAATGCCCACATCATATTTAATATGCATTCACTCATAAATGTTAATTCAATGAGTGTGTGTATTTACCACCAAAATGACTTTACGGAAATATTGCCACATTTTCGAATATGAACTCACTATTTGGCAAATGATTTGTGTGGTCCCTGTAGATAGGATTGAGTCTGCAGCTTATTTAATAGAAACGTGACCATACAAAGGCAATGTGGATAATTCACACGTTGTGAAAATGGAAATTTCTTGGCAGACGAGCCCGAAGCCATTATGCCCAATAGCTGAAACCTGAATACCGTCTGCGTCTGTTTCCTATTTCTCCTCTTTCTTTTTTTCCCCTCTCAGTCCACAATACTCACTGAGACCTTAACGTTCTTGTCTATCAATGGCATAATTTTATCTATGGCCACGAGGGTTCATGTCTAACCACACGAGCAGTTAAAACGTCTATGATCACTTCACGTCTAGCTCTGAAGCCAAATGCCTGTTTCATATTCATGTGTTGACCTTCCAGTGAGTATTTTTACCGTTTAAGGATGCGACTGCAAAGCCCCAGTGAAGCACAGACGTTTCATTTTGTGCTTTTAATGAAATTATTGATAACCGTATTGACTCGGAGAGGTTGGTGTGACCTTAACATTTGCTTGGCAGGCTTTTAGAAGGATGTGAACCAGACATTGTTTTGATTTATATCGCCATAACACATCAAGTCAGTTTGTTTTTATTAGGTTGGTGGACATCAGATTGATGACATGGACTTGTAGGAGGCAGCTTAAAAATATCAATATTCAATATGTTCTGTGCTTTCAATTGCACTTTCAGTTATACAGGAGAGAAATCTTCTTTATTAAAAGATTGATATTTAAAGATCAATTTTGTAATTTAATACATTTTTGATTATTTTCAATGTGAAAGGCCCATATGAGTAAGCAGCATTATTTTAGACCTGCTTAAAATGTTAAAGTTCAGATTCTGCAATGACTTCTTCATTGAAGTTTGGTCTATACTTGTAAGATTAACAGGGTAGATCTGTAGATGATTTGGACGTAAATTATTGGATTATATTAGAGAAGATTAATTAATATTTTGGGAAATCTTTTGCAGTTGTTCTGGAATACCAAATTCTATGATTTACATTCAGGCTGTTAGGCCCCCCAAAACTGAATGAATGTACAAGAGCTCTAACTTCAAGCACTTAGTGAATTATTTAGGCCCTATTGG